TGTCTTCCGTCTGTGTTCTGTAAACAAGCGCTGTAACATGGAGATATGGACGTGTGGTAACCCTATAAAAGGTGTGTGGTAATTTAACCTTTTGTTTTTTGAAAATTATTTGGAAAATACGTTCCTTATGTTTCCAAAACCGTAAAAACGATGTGTTTTAATGTTCAGAACGAGTGTCGGGACTCTTAACAAAACTTCCCCGGCCAGAAGATGGTATCATCAATGGGTGCCAAAGGTAGTTTTAGTGTCTATGAATGGGTTAATATTACCCCAACAACACGGTTGCGAGGTCAGCTAAGCTCGTGCAGAGAAGTGTACAAGGACAGTGCCATTTTTCCAAAGTTAGCTAGCTAGTTATACTTTTCTCTTATACATGTAGCTAGCTAAAATGACAACTATGAGGTTTATGAAAGCGTAATTCCATCCTATATGCCTAAACACATCCTATATTTAGCTAGCTAGCGGGAAGAAATTACCCTTTCCTTTAGTTTGTTTTCTTGCATGCAGCTTGTAAACCTTACGGCTTAACCTAACCATGTTAGATGGGTAAATTCCGCCAAGTATCAAGCTAGTATCATGCTATGCAGAGGATGCCATTCTCAAGTCATGTCATTTTTGGCTGTGTACTGTGCTCCCCAGGAGAGGGAATAATATACATTGTGTCCTTCCCGTCAAGATTTCACATTTATTTAGTATTTTGACAGGTTGTTCACACTTCATCGATAGGTGAAAAGACAATGCATTTGGGCTGTTTGTTTCTGTTAAAGCCCAGAAAGCAACATATAAATGTTTTTTTCTTCATATTGTTGTGCATGCCAGATCATGGCACTTGTTGTCTGTATGATGCTATCAGAGCTTTTTCATAGAGATCTAAAGGAGGATTCCTGTCCCCCATTTTGATTGAGCTGGATGATGGATCACCAGCTCTGGATAAGAGCAGTGATATTACACTGACTGATATGGCATATTGTCTTCTTGCATAAATTCAATGATTGGCGAATCCCTCATAATGCTTGGTGATGAACATGGAGTCATACACCATTTTGTTAGCTGTTTAGAGAGCAACCAACTGACGTGGTACCATTCAGTCCTGCTTAGAACTTGGGACATTGGTGATTTCAAAAACAATATTAAAAGGACATGTAGGCTAGAGGTGGGTGATGATGAGGATCAGACAGAGTACATCGGAGGTAGTATAGTATTAGACCGACATTGTCCATTAGGGCTGGGAATTGCCAGGGACCTCACGATACGATATTATCACGATACTTAGGTTCCGAAACTATATGTATTGCAATTCTCATAACTCTCACGATTCTATATATAGTTTGTTCATGTTTATTCTGTTATTCAGTAGGTGATTGATAACATTTCATCTTAGATATAGAATGAAATTACTATAACTTTGTACATTTGAAATAGCAGTGTCATAATTTGCTGTCTGTCTTTTGGGACCCTGTCATAACGCAGAATGTCACATCCATAACACTACATTTTTCCTCTAATGTTATTATGAAAGTGCAAATATTTCTAGAATTGTTATTGAGGTATGCAGCCCTCTAATTCACAATAAAAATAGTGATTTTTCAAATAAAGAATTGCAAATGCATGATGCTTTTGATGAGTCAGGGAAATAAAAGTGCAGAAAACCTGTTGGCTCACTATTTAGAAGGAGAACAAGAAATAGGATAAAATACTGGAATTTTGGCGCAGGTACAGCCGACTAGCGCAAGCTAACTCTACCTACAGTAGCAAACCTTTTTTTTTTTTTTTTTTTTTACAAATCGATACTTGGAGTCAGATAGTATCGTCCCAAAATAATATTTGTGACAAGATGGCGCCGAGTTCCAACCCAACTTTGCTATATAGTGACTTTTATCGTGTTTATCTTAACTTTTTTTGTACAGAAAGTTCATACTATTATCACATTATACCCTAGACCCACTCCAATTCGCATACTGCCCCAACAGATCCACAGAACACACAATCTAAATTGCACTTCACACTGCCCTCTCCCACCTGGACAGTAGGGGAAATAACTAGGTAAGAATGCTGTTCATAGACTACAGCTCAGCGTTCAAAACCATAGATCCCTCCAAGAGGGCACGGCAGCACCTCGTGAAGAGGGCACGGCAGCACCTCGTGAAGAGGGCACGGCAGCACCTCGTGAAGAGGGCACGGCAGCACCTCGTGAAGAGGGCACGGCAGCACCTCGTGAAGAGGGCACGGCAGCACCTCGTGAAGAGGGCACGGCAGCACCTCTTCCCCCTCAGGAGGCAAAAAAGATTTGGCATGGGCCCTCGTATCCTCAAAGTTCTACAGCTGCACCATCGAGAGCATCTTGACTGGCTGCATGCCCGCTTGGTATGGCAAATGCAACGCCCTTCACCGCAAAGTGCTACAGAGGGTGGTGCGGACAGCCAAGTACATCACTGGGGCCGAGATCCCTGCCATCCAGGACCTCTATATCAGGCGGTGTCAGAGGAAAGCCCGAAAAATTGCGAAGGACTCCAGCCACCCAAGCAATAGACTGTTCACTCTGGTACTGTCCAGCAAACGGTACCGGAGCATCGGCAGCTTCTGCCCCCAAGCCATAAGACTGCTAAATAGTCAATTAATGGTACCTGAACTAACTGCACTGATCCTACGCACACTCACTAGACTATACAGTGCATTCGGAAAGTATTCAGACCCCTTGACTTTTTCCACATTTTGTTACATTACAGCCTTATTCTAAAATTTATTAAATAAATAGAAGCAATCTACACACAATACGCCATAATGACAAAGCAAACACATTTTTTTTGACATTTTTGCAAATGTATTAACAATAAACTCATCACATTTGCATAACTATTCAGACCCATTACTCAATATTTTGTTGAAGCACCTTTTGCAGCGATTACTGCCTGGAGTCTTCTTGGGTATGATGCTACAAGCTAGGCACACCTGTATTTGGGGAGTTTCTCCCATTCTTCTCTGCAGATCCTCTCAAGCTCGGTCAGGTTGGATGGGAAGCGTCGCTGCACAGCTATTTTCAGGTCTCTCCAGAGATGTTCAAGTCTGGGCTCTGGCTGTGCCACTCAAGGACATTCAGAGACTTGTCCTGAAGCCACTCCTGCGTTGACTTGGCTGTGTGCTTAGGGTCGTTATGCTGTTGGAAGGTGAACCTTCTCCCCAGTCTGAGGTCCTGAGTGATCTGGAGCAGGTTTTCATCAAGGATCTCTCTGTACTTTGCTCCGTTGATCTTTCCCTCAATCCTGACTAGTCTCCCAGTCCCTGCCTGAAAAACATCTTCACAGCATGATGCTGCCACCACCATGCTTCAACGTAGGGATGGTGTCAGGTTCCTCCAGACGTGACGCTTGGCATTCAGGCCAAAGAGTTCAATCTTGGTTTCATCAGACCAGAGAATCTTGTTTCTCATGGTCAGAGTCCTTTAGGTGCCTTTTTAGCAAACTCCAAGCGGGCTGTCTTGCCTTTTACTTAGGAGTGGCTTCTATCTGGCCACTCTACCATAAAGGCTTGATTGGTGTAGTGCTGCAGAGATGGTTGTCCTTCTGAAAGGTTCTCCCATCTCCACAGAGGAGCTTTGGAGCTCTGTCAGCGTGACCATCGGGTTCTTGGTCACCTTCCTGACCAAGGCCCTTCTCCCCCGATTGCTCAGTTTGGCCGGGCGGCCAGCTCTAGGAAGAGTCTTGGTGGTTCCAAACTTCTTCCATTTAAGAATGATGGAGGCCACTGTGTTCTTGGGGACCTTCAATGCTGCAAAAATAAATGTGGTACCCTTCCCCAGATCTGTGCCTCGACACAATCCTGTCTCGGAGCTCTACGGACAATTCCTTGGACCTCATGGCTTGGTTTTTGCTCTGACATGCACTGTCAACTGTGGGACCTTTTATATAGACCGGTGTGTGCCTTTCCAAATCATGTCCAATTACATTTAACACAGGTGGACTCTAATCAAGTTGTAGAAACATCTGAAGGATGATCAATGGCAACAGGAAGCACCTGAGCTCAATTTCGAGTCTCCTAGCAAAGGGTCTGAATACTTATGTAAATAAGGTATTTCTGTTTTGATTTATTTGTCAAAAATCTGTTTTCGCTTTCTCATTACGGGGTATTGTGTGTAGATTGATGAGGGACAAAAAGTATTTAATCAATTTTAGATTAAGGCTGTAACGAAATGTGGAAAAAGAGAAGGGGTCTGAATACTTTCCGAATGCACTGTATAGTGTAGAATCATTGTACCATCCATAACCCAAAATATTGTATTTTCAGCTTTTTGAAGCTGGTGTACAAAATCAAAAGTAAAAGACACAAAAACAAAACTTAAGAACGGGAAGCATAGAAATAGGGCACATAGAACATACCTACACAGACTTGCTTTCAATGAAAATGACAGATCTATAACTTTTCTATGTGAATTTGGTCGGTTGCCCAAAATGTTACATATTGCAGCTTTAAAGGGATAGTTTATCCAAATTACAAAATTACACATTGGTTTCCTTACACTGTAAGCAGTCTATGGACAAGGTATGACAGCAATCCATGCTTTGGTTTAGTTTCCACATGCTAACGTTCTAGCATTTGTGGCATAAATCCCATTCGTCATGGGACCAATATTAGCATTTTTTGTCCAAATCATCCGAAAGCATCTAAAATGTATTGTGAAGCTCAACAGTCACTTACAGATGTTTTGAACATGTGCGAAAAAGACTCATATTGGTCCCATGACTTGAATGGGATTTGTGCCACCAATGCTAAAATGTTAGCATGTCTATAGACTGCTTACAGGGTAAGGAAACCAATGTCATTTTGTAATTTGGGTGAAATATCCCTTTAAATTATGCATCAGTCTATATTTAGTCTTACCATTACTAGGATAAACTCATTAGCAATGTGTAGGGCTAATGTGTTAAATCATTGGGTTTGGAGTATAATGGGGATTGAAAGGGGCAGCCTATGGTTAAAAAAAAACAACATTTTAACATTGGAGGATGAAACCTACTTTAACATTTGGCCACCAATTAGGCCCATTGCTAGTTTGGGTTGACATTGATTCCTCTGTGAATCTCTCTTTGCAGGCTGACAAACGAGCACATCACAATGCGCTGGAGCGCAAACGTAGGGACCACATTAAAGACAGCTTCAGCAGTTTACGGGACTCTGTGCCTGTGTTACAAGGGGAGAAGGTTAGTAAAGTTAGTAATCTGTATTTTCAACTTTCCAGCTCTGTCTGACTGTAGAATAAATACCGTATGAAGTTAGTAGTTTGTATGAATGTCCAAATGTATTCATGCTAAATGTACTACAGTAGCAATGGTGATCTAATAAGCCTCACCCATTATTTTGAACAGTTTATCTTTCATTTTCATTAATGAGTTAATAATCAGCTTGGATTGATACTTGGTTCCAATAAGCTAATGGTATTTAGACTAATCTTGAATAACTAGGCCAGCAGTGTGTGTCATCTGTAATGCTGTGTTAAGGACAAAAGCAACATTGTCTCATGGCTGAGTTTTTAATTTGCTGCTGACAGCAATCTGTCAAACAGGCTTCCCGAGCTCAGATCCTAGACAAAGCCACAGACTACATCCAGTACATGAGACGAAAAAACCACACACACCAGCAGGACATTGACGACCTGAAGAAGCAGAATGCAATGCTAGAGCAGCAGGGTGAGTGTGGGCTCAAGGCCCAGGGACAACTGCAGGTGCAGGAGGGTGAGTCATGGTGTGTCTGGGTCAGGTGCACTACTGATCAGAGCCATACTTGCACTACTTACGCTCTGCTTCTGATGGCCTTTTTTTGCATTATCCCAGTGAACAATGTTTCATGGTGGAGAAGGGAGAGACTGATACTTCTCCTGTTCTGTGTTTCTCTGGGTGATTGCAGTCCGTGCACTGGAGAAGGCCAAGGGGAACACTACGCTCCAGCCCAACTACTCGTCCTCTGACAGCAGCTGGTACACCAACCCCAAAGGGAGCACAGTGTCTGCCTTCGATGGAGGCTCCGACTCCAGCTCTGAATCAGAGCCAGAGGAGTCGCCCAATAGAAAGAAGCTGCGTGTTGAGCCCAGCTAGACTCCATCCACAGTGCTAGCACCAGAGACTCTCTTATCCACCAGCCCCCTCCTCTTTCTTTTGGCAGTCTGTTTCCTACCTTCTCATGCCAGTCCAGGAGACAGAGGGAAGACCATGTGAGAAAGGTGCTATCATATATATATATATATATATATATAACGCTTCAACCTTTCTCCTCCTTCACCAGCATATTGTCACTCCTCTCATAGTGCATCAACAACTCTCAACACCCCCAAAGTGAGGCAGCTCTGCAGTTGAAGGACTTAATGCTTTTAAAACATAATTATTCAGAATCGGATATAAAAATAAAAATATGAAGGTGAACAGCTTTAGTCTAGCTACAACAAATCGTTTTGGATCAATGAACCTGTTCCAAGAGTTTGAGAAAATATCCATAGGAATAGTTGACCTTTTTAATATTTGTACTTTTCCACAAAAGAATGTGAAGTTGCTTTGAAAAATATACATGTAATGCAACCCTCCAGAATCAGTGTAGATGGCTGAAGTTTTCAGTCTTTGAAATATTTGTGTAATCAAATCCCTATATTTAAAGTGATATGTTGAAATTGATTTCTTATCCCATATTGTACATTTTTGTTGTTTAACTTTACCACTTGTCAATGGAGATTGATGGATGAACAATGTTGGCATCATTTAATATATTAAGAAAATGGAGATTCAATTATTATAATATTTTTTCAAAATGGATAAATACTAAATGTTACACAATGCAGTTAAAAGGTAGTAACTTTTTATTTGTATTAAAGGAAAAGAAGGCCATATCAGTGTAGTGCATAACACTATATACTCTTAAATGTTGTCCATTCTACAAAGAAATCTCTGGAAATATTTGCCATTTAGATTTTTTATTTTACAGATAATTAGTGTGTAAGAATTAGATTTGTTTGATTCCATTCTATGGCAATTACAGGTGTTGTACGTACTGCCAACAATTGTCTTGCAAGTTGAGGCATACCTTTGCTGAGAAACTATTATAAATAAAACTATTTTATCCTAGTGCTGTGTGTTTAGTGACATGATGCATTTATTTTGAATGGTAAACTCTTGGTCTGATGGGGTGTTATGATAGCATAGCATACTTTCAGAGGAACAGTCAACTAGATTACCCTTGTTTGACAGAAGACACGTTTGAAAACCTATATAGACTGCTTCAAGGTGGTCTTGCTTCCAATCTTACAGCTGATGTTATGACATTTGTTAGTGGGGGTCAGTAGAGACTATAATACAGACGTAAGACAAATTAAATGGATCTGTACCAAGTCTACCTTATCCAGGAAGTCCCATTGCGGTCAGAATACCTATTTTACAAGGGAGACCTGGCCTAGAGGGCAGCTTAAAATGTATGCCAAAGCATACCTTACTGTTTGTTGAGTTTTCTTTGTACTTAGTGCATGCCAGTGCTGAGCACCTCTGCACTGTTATTAGTGTCAATGTTTGTCCCACATTTTAAACCCTACCTGCTCTAAACACTGAGTTGCATGGTGCTGGCTGGCCGGCCTATTGACACTGCCAATTTGAGGTGAGCACTGAGCTCAGATTATCCACATACCTGACACCCACCTCTCATGCAGGCACATCATACATTTTAAAGGCGCAGTCTTGATATCTGGTGGAGTAGGCTAGTACATTTACATTGACATTTTAGTCCCTGTTCTGTTCAGGAGTTTCGGTTTAGGAGAGTAAAGGAATGACGGATGAAGCATCCATATCAACACTAGGATCTCAAAGACTGGTGTTTGTCAAAGGTTGAGGATGAAAAAATGTTGGCAATTCAAAGAAGTTCGAAATGATTGCGAACTTTGAAAATATGCTTTCAGTAAGTACATTTCACTGGCTTTCAGTTTTGGGAAAATGAGCCACATGAAAATATTCTCAGGGATGGATGGTAGGCTGGTATGTCCATGTACTCCACACTATCTGCTACAATAACCTATCAACACCAAAATGTACTTGCTTCTGAAATGATGCCTATGCATGCATCCAACCCTAACAGGAGGAAATAATATTTGTGACGAGAAATAGAACAACACTGACATCTCCTGGTAGATTAAGGTAATATGTAGCAATACTTTTCAGGAAATCAGTCTGTGCAGTTCAACGTGAATAAAAAAATAATTTCCAACTGCTACCATTTGACACTATTTAAATATGAATACCGCTTGTATTTTTTGTTTGAAAACTGTTTACAGAGATGGAACAAATATATAGCCTGTTTCATTTGTGAGAGAGATGGGCTACTTTGTAACCACTTTATTGTTGTGGTGCTCGTCGCTTCTCCAAGCCTTTGATCTAACTCTCTGAGTTTTCGCAAATTATAGAGCCACCCCCATGCAAGTTAGTTCTCACCATAGAGATCATTACTTGGAAATAACCTATTTTTGCATGAACATTGCCATTGGGAAAAGTAAACGGGTTGGGAGCCATCAGCTAATGATCAGAGAGCATTGTCTTCAGGACTACCTGGCCTGATGACTCCTTGCTGTCCCCAGTCCACCTGGTCATACTGCTGCTCCAGTTTACACTCTTCTGCCTGCGGCTATGGAACCCTGATCTGTTCACCGGACGTGCTACCTTGTCCCAGACCTGCTGTTTTCAACTCTCTCTCTCTCTGCTGCACCTGCTATTTCAACCTCTAAATGCCCGGCTATGAAAAGCCAAGTGACATTTACTCCTGATGTACTGACCCGTTGCAACCTCTACAACCACTGTGATTATTACTTGACCCTGCGGGTCATCTATGAACATTTGAACATCTTGGAGAAAAGGGTCATCTATGAACATTTGAACATCTTGGAGAAAAATCTGGCCTTAATGGCCATGTACTGTTATAATCTCCACCTGGCACAGCCAGAAGGGGCCACCCATCAGAGCCTGGTTCCTCTCTAGGTTTCTTCCTAGGTTTCTGCCTTTCTAGGGAGTTTTTCCTAGCCACCGTGCTTCTACATCTGCATTGCTTGCTGTTTGGGGTTTTAGGCTGGGTTTCTGTATAGCACTTTGTGACATCTGCTGATGTAAAAAGGGCTTTATAAATAAAATGTGATTGATTCTTAAAATTGGTTTGCGTAGTTTGTAAATGGCTTTAAGATAAGACCGCCATCTACTGGCCATAATAAATTAATTACAATATTTGGTTCAACATTCCAGCACCGCAGGTCAATCAAAAGAAGTAGAAAATGTACTACTTTAAAATGAAGATAGCCTCAATGGTGCTGCCCATGCTGTCACATATGCCATAATGGCACCTGTAGACCTACAACGTTGAGATTTCTATAAATCTCTATGGTTCTCACTGATTGGGAAGAAGGGGAAGGCCAGGGAACCAGAGGTGTATTCATTTTGTCTTGCAACGGAAACCATTTATCATTTAAGAACCAAACGGAACGAAACAGGGAGGGACCTACCTGAATTTGTCCAAAAGAAACTCTCGTTTTCGTCGCCAAACTTTTTCGTTTGAAGTAAACGGTTTCTGTTGCAAAATTTTGCAACAGACGAAACGTTTTGCAACAGAATAGGCGTAATGAATACATCCCATATATGCCTACAAGGAATGCAACTAATTTCCTCATCAGTAGCTATGCCACATCCTTGGAATATGCGACAGGCATTTTGGATTTCAGAGTTTTTTTGTCCACCATGGCAAAGCAGTACGACGTTTTGCTCAGGTTGCTGGTTTTAGGAGATTCCGGGGTTGGGAAAACCTGTTTGTTGTGCAGGTTCACGGATAATGAATTTAATTCATCGCATATCTCTACTATTGGTAAGCTGCTGTTGATTGCAATCGTTTAGTTTGACGATTTATTTATGCAAGTTTGCCGCCAACTATGCGGATCCCACAACAAGTGATTGACAGCAAGTAATTCTATACGAAACGATAGAATGGACTTTTCTTGTAGATTTATCATGCCTTCACCTAAATCTTTGTTGAAGGACATATTTCTGAAACTGTACTAGCCATAGGCCTAACTGTATTAAAGGTTGTCTTTGTTAGTCCTATAAACTTGATAAACTGAGGAAATGTTTCACAAACACGCTTTGATCCCCATCAGAGTGAGAATGTACTACAAGCTTTGATGAACCGGATGATTGTTTTCTCGGCATCCATGTTCAACATGTAATTTCCCCCACCCCCCATGGCTATGGACATGTTTGTTTAGAAACTCCAGCCGATTTTGACCCTATGTCGGAGGTAATCTGATACAAAATGTCCACAGGGAAGTGTTATCAAACTGACATTCAGTATTCTTGTCAGTATATCATTTGTATTTCCGTTTTTTATTTTCAATACATTTACATTTTGTAATTTAGCAGACGCTCTTATTCAGAGCGATTTACAGTTAGTGAGTGCATACATGTTATTTTTATTTTTTTTATTCTGGCCCCCGGTGGGAATCGAACCCACAACCCTGGCGTTGCAAACGCCATGCTCTACCAACTGAGCTACACAGGGCTGATGCAATTCGCACGTGACAAACACTTTCACAATATGGCCAAGCCTAACCTAACAGCAAACACTTCCAGTTTATTGCAAGGAGAAACGTGCTTCTGTCAACTACATTCCGTTAGTGCGTTGTGCATCACATGCAATGCTTCAACAGATTGAAAACACAAGCAACAGAGCCTAGCATTGCCGCAAAAAGCCGGGTAAACAACACTTTCCTGTGGATACCATATCTCCACCTCCTACCGCCAAAAGGACCAACAGCATGTACAATAGTGAAGGGTCATTCGCGAACGAACATCTCTTTTTGAACATCTCTTTTTTTTTTTTTACGTGCATTTCATGATCTGACAATGGTAGACTACTTTTTGGGCCTTACATGAGGATATTTGAAAGTTTCCTTGGTTCTATATATAGATTCTTAAGCATTTTGAATGAGCCGGCTCAACGAAAAGACTCGGAATTCCCATCACTAATGTACAACCGGTAAAGTAAGTGTAAATATAATTTTATTCAACATTCTGCCTTCTTCTGCAATACTGATCACATACATTATCATTTAGCCTATTATGGATAGATGTTTTTTTTTAGAAAGGAAATACGCCTCTCTTTGGCAGAGCACAATGGAGCTGCAGGGTCTGTAATAGCCCTTGATAATGACTCTGTTCCGTTATTGGGATAGGTCTGTAATTCCATAGAAAGCCTCTCTAAGCCTGATGGTTATTTTACTGGAAAGGGAGTTCTTTCTTGTTGAACAGGAAGTGGCAGGGTTGGGGAAAATGTATCTTATGCATTCCCTCTGATTGGTTCTCCATTAAGCCACCACTTTGTTTTGGTTTCATACAAAGTAGAGGTGTAGACAGACAATGTGTGACTCACATTAAAATGACGCCCTCAAGACTGAAGCATTTCCCCCCCTAATTATGTGGCCAATGTCTAATGATTTTTACAAAGGTTATATGCAGCAGAAAAAGTACTTATTGGCCAGATTGACTTCCGTTTCCATGGGTCATCAGCAGTCATTGCACCCTCTTATTTATAAACATGGTGGTGATCCTGCAGTATGACTGACTGATTGACTGGCTCAAATATTCTGAAAAGCTCAGGGCAGGGGTTCTGTTGGAAAAGTATCAGTCTGCAGGAAAGTCTACATACTATACACACACACACTAATACACATGTCTTGAGGTTGTTTATCTAACCCTGTAACTTTCTTCCTACTGTTTGTTCAACTTAAACAAAACAGTATGTGACTAGAAGGAATGGGGAAGGTTTTGACTCACTTTGCAACTAGCTCTACTGGTGAGTTTAATCTCTGTGAAGCAAGGTAATAAAAGCTGCTGCTGATCTACAAAAAAACGATTGTATTCGATTACAAGTGTTATTGAGGGGGAGAGGTACGCTACAGTATCATGCAGAACAGAATCCGAGCAAGGCACCTGATCTCTCCCCCGTGACTATCAGCCTAGATTCTAGTTTGCTTAATTCCTTATTATTCTTCAGTCCTGAACCCCCAACCCTCAGTTCCTGGAATACAGTGTAAACCTGCTAAATTAGCTCATTAAAGATTTGACTGGGTTCACTGACGATGAATGTAATGTCAGACCTATTGAACACATGATTAGCCTATAACACTGGCAAGGCAGACACCACACACACACAGGCAAAGGTAGTGAAGCATGTACAGCATGTCAAATTTGAATGTGCTCTCTCTCTCCCATGTGTCAGTGTTGGGGCAATAATTGGGAAGGCTGCCTCCACTATTAGAGATGGCATTTGTTAATCAAGTCCAACAGACAGAACAGTTTCAAACATCACTAGAAGCACAGTTTGGATTCACCAAGAACATTGTGCCTTCAGAAAGTATTCACACCCCTTGACTTTCACATTTTGTTGTGTTATAGCCTGAATAGAAAATAGATTAAATTGAGATTTTGTGTCACTGGACTACACACAATACCCCATAATGTCAAAGTGGAATTATGATTTTAGACATTTTTATAAATTAATGAAAAGTTGAAATATCTTGAGTCAATAAGTATTCAACCCCTTAATGACAAGCCTAAATAAGTTCAGGAGTAAAAATGTGCTTAAGTCACATAAATTGCATGGACTCTGTGTGCAATAATAGTGTTTAACATGATTTTTGAATGACTACCTCATCTCTGTACTCCACACAATTATTTGTAATGTCCCTCAGTCGAGCAGTGAATTTCAAACACAGATTCAGCCACAAGGACCAGGGAGGTTTTCCAATGCCTCGCAAAGAAGGGCACCTATTGTTAGATGGGTAAAAAAAGCAGACATTGAATATCCCTTTTGAGCATGGTGAAGTTATTAATTACACTTTGGATGGTGTAACAATACACCCAGTCACTACAAAGATACAGGCATCCTTCCTAACTCAGTTGCGGGAGAGGAAGGAAACTGCTCAGGGATTTCACCATGAGACCAATGGTGACCTTAAACAGTTACAGAGTTTGATGGCTGTGATAGGAGAAAACTCAGGATGGATTGTGCTGGGGACAAAAGGCAACTCTAAAATGTGCCGTTTTGTCACACGACACTGCCATAGCAGCGTGCAATTGGCATGCTGACTGCAGGAATGCCCAACAGAGCTGTTGCCAGAGAATTGAATGTTCATTTCTCTACCATAAACCGCTTCCAACGTAATTTTAGAGAATTTGGCAGTATGTCCAACCAGCCTCGCAACTGCAGACCACGTGTAACCACGCCAGCCCAGGACCTCCACATCTGGTTTCTTCACCTGCGAGATCATCTGAGACCAGCCACCTGGACAGCTGATGAAACTGAAAAGTATTTCTGTCTGTAATAAAGCACTTTTGTGGGGAAAAACTCATTCTGAGTGGCTGGGCCTGGTTCCCAAGTGGGTGGACCTATGCCCATCCATGGCTGCGCCCCTGCCCAGTCATGTGAAATCCATATATTAGGGTCTAATGAATTGATTTCAATTGACTGATTTCCTTATATGAACTGTAACGCAGTAAAATCGTTAATTGTTGCATGTTGCGTTTTATATTTTTGTTCATTATAAATGAGATTTCATTTTCAATAGATTTGCAAACATATTGTGTGTAGATGGGTGAGATTTGTAATTTATTTAATCAATTTTGAATTCAGGCTGTAACAACAAAATATGCGAAAAGTCAAGGGGTATGAATACTTTCTCAAGGCACTATACGATGCCAATCCGTTGCCTGAAGCATATCCTGGTGTGAAGTGTTTGTATCAGCTCTGTGTTGTTTACTGTGTTTGTCGGCTGGTGTTGTTGTTAAGCTAAGTGATGGTAATGTTGCAAGCAGCTGACCTTTTGCACCTGACTATTTGATGGGTTTTTACGCTTCTTCAACTGTGAAGCTTTCACACACACACCACTGACATCTAAATTGATATATTTTTCATGCAGAAGTCGATAGACAACCCAAGTCACGTCTTCCTTGGCCCTGCAGGAATACACTGTAGTAAATAACAACTGAATTCCTTTTAGCAAGATGACATGCTTTAAAGGTTACCTCTAAAGACTGATTGAAAGGACATTCAACTGGGATAAGTGGGTATCTAAGCAACCCAGTCCTCATCAGTGTCCACTTCAAGTATGTGTCACTTTTACCATTAGCCCAGAGTTACGAATATTACCCTACTTATTGAATAGTACAGGCTGTTTTGATGAGTAAAAAACAAAAAATTGCCAGCCAATGAGATGATGTCCAACTTTTTTCTATTCATTTATTTATGCAGAGACACTTTTTTTAATTGTTATGCACCAATAGGATATATTGAGATTAGGCTACACTCTTTGAGGCTTCGGTAAAACTCCAATCCTGCAATGGAAAAATGAAGAATAAAGAAACATGAAAGCACAAGCTCAAAAGATACATGTTAGTAAGGAAAACAGGAGGGAGATAAAGAATCCAACTATAGGGAGACAGAGAAGATGGATATAAAATGCAGGCAAGAGTAATACATGTTTGTTTGTAAAACATATATATATTTTTTTTTGTAGGAGTGGATTTCAAAATGAAAACATTACAAGTAGATGGCATTAAAGTACGAGTACAGATATGGTGAGTGAAAAGATCTTACAGACAATGACTTACCCTAATACAGTAGTTATTGACACACCTATCACGTTAATTTTACATTCTGTAAGACAGTGTTTGAAATAAGCTTTACCTGTTGATTTGATTAAGATGATAAATATTCTGAAATGTGGTCACATCACCATGTAAAACTGAGGATTGCTTTTGTCTGTGTGCAGGGATACTGCTGGCCAGGAACGATACCAGACCATCACCAAACAGTACTACAGACGGGCACAGGTGGGTTCTCTATATACCAATAATCCCTGTTCAGGAATGAAGATATGTACCAGTTAAAAACAGTTTACTGTGCCTAGTTCCATGCTCACCCTCAGTCATGTGCTCACAATCTGTCATGATGGTCCCTCCCCTCTTGATCTTTCACCAGGGAATTATCCTGGTGTATGACATCACAAGTTCCAGCTCCTTTCAGCACATTTTGAAGTGGGCTAGCGATGTGGATGAGGTAAGGCTAACACCTACTGATAAAACACAGCCCTCTCCATTCACTGTGTCATTATTTTTGTCCCCCCTTCTCCTTTTCTCAGGTTCTCTGTGTTTGACTGACCCAGTATTTACATCCTCTCTTATTGAATTGTTGGTGCCCAGTCGTCTATTTCTCAACCCTGTCAAACTATGTTTCAGTTCGCCCCTGACAAGGTGCAGAGGATCCTGGTGGGGAACAAGGCTGATGAGGAGCAGATGAGGAAAGTTCCTAAAGAACAAGGAAACAAGGTTGGCCTTTATCGCACTGTTTTACTCAGCCATAACAACGGTTTTCTTCCATACACAGTTGAACATTTTCCATTCTTAATGAACTCCTGTGTGTTACAGCTAGCAAAAACCTATGGAATGGAATTCTTTGAGACAAGTGCCTGCACCAACTGCAACATAAATGAGGTGAGTCATAGGCCTTATTGAGTCAATACCTTGTATACTGAACAAAAATATAAACTAAACATGCAACAATTCCAATGATGTTACTGCGTTACAGTTCATATAAGGAAATCAGTCAATTGAAATGCATTCATTAGCCCTAATTTATGGATTTCACATGACTGGGCAGGGGTGCAGCCATGGCTGTGCCTGGGAGGGCATAGGCCCAACCACTTGGGAGCCAGGCCCACCCACTGGGGAGCCAGGCCCAGCCAATCAGAATGAGTTTTTCCCCACAAAAGGGCTTTTATTAAAGACCAAAATACTCCTCAGATTCATCAGCTGTCTGGGTGGCTGGTCTCAGATGATCCCACAGGTGAAGTACTCCTGAGTGGCGCAGTGGTCTAAGGCACTGCATCGCAGTGCTAACTGTGCCACTAGAGATCCTGGTTCGAATCCAGGCTCTGTCGCAGCCGGCCGCGACCGGGAGACTCATGGGCGGCGCACAATTGGCCCAGCGTCGTCCAGGGTAGGGGAGGGAATGGCCGGCAGGGATGTAGCTCAGTTGATAGAGCATGGCGTTTGCAACGCCAGGGTTGTGGGTTCAATTCCCACGGGGGGCCAGTATAAAAAAATATGTATTCACAGAGCGACTTACTTGATATGCCACATCTGTCAGGTGGATGAATTATCTTGGTAAGGTAAAGGAGAAATGCTCACTAACAGGGATGTAAACAAATTTGTGCACAGAATTTGAGATAAATAAGCTTTTTGTGCGTATGGATTTTATTTTGGATTTTTCTCTTCAGCTCATGAAACATGGGACCAACACTTTACGTGTTGCGTTTATATTTTCGTTCAGTATATGTACGCTATGTTGGGTGAACATGTGAGGCAATTGTGATCATATATTTTCTTTACATCTTCCAGTCGTTTATCCGGTTGACACAGCTGGTTCTGCAGGCTCACAAGAAAGAGATGGATGCCTTCCAGGGTTCCACTAATAAATACCTAGACATGACTTCTCTGTGGGGAGAGCAGGACAAACAGGACAGTGATGCAAACTCCCAGAAGTCCTGCACATGTTAGCATAAGGGCAAAGCTCTCCACATGGGGGTGTTTGTCTAGAAGAATGCCCCTGGCCCTGTGACATAATGACATTGAAATGTGTAACTTATGAAATGTGAGAGTATGTTCGGTGCTTACTGAATATTGCCCTTGCTGCTGCTCAGATGAATGCATTATCACTTTTTGGCCTACTCACTGTTCAGTTTTCATCTTCATGTATAATTTCATAGTTACTTGGCTTTTTCATGTTTATTACCCTATTCTGCAACACCTAAACTGATGGCACGCTGAGTTAAGTAGTCCACATGTAATAAGAACATTTGCCAGCAGAGGGGCTACTGTCTGCAAAACTCTGAAAGCTGCAACTCAGTTACTGGGTATACTTAAGCCTTCTTCTGTATAATTTGTATTGCCACAATTTTACCCTTCATATCACAAACAACTTTGCTGTCTACTTGAAATAACAAAACTTATGCTTACAAAGTCATTTGCTAAAAATTATGAAGTGTGGGACTATAGTGAAAGAGAATCTGAGGCTCTTGAGTGGTCCTTTATGAGGTGAGACAAGGATAGGGGAGACAGGGTGGGCAGAGGGCAAGGTTCAATTATTAATATGCAGAAATAGAATCCAAGCTAGCTGGAAGGGATAATTTACCTGTGGAAGAGTAACCAATACTCAGACAAGCATTAACGCAAAACCTCAATCTAAAACTGAAATTATGTTCAACACCATCTTTGAGTAACTTTGAGTATGTTGTGTGAATTTCATTGCCAATTCAAAGTATTTTTCCAGGTTGAAAAGCTGTAGCAAATGCCACACTGGTGCATACACACATACTATTATAAAGGTTATTTAGGGTGCCACTGATTGCTGACTGTTTTGACGTTTTTGAATAGCTGTGCTAGCTATAAGATAAAATATGATTTTTTTGTGTGTGGAAAAATAACAAAAATACTCATTAAAAGTTCACGTTAACTTATTGGCCATCTTGTAGTTGCATTTTGTGAGATATACTAGAGGGGAGTTGAGTGAAGCCTTGGTTCATTGAGTTTAAATAGAACTAGAAGATCAAATAGGACAGTCATTCATTTTTTATCACATACTGGGAAAGGCAGGTAATGACTTGATAAATGGTTGATGGTGAGAAACTGATATATAGGCCCTTGAATTAGCATAAAGCTGAATATTGTGCCCATATCATAATACATGGTTCCCTTCCTTCTCATTATTCTCACAGGAAATAAGTCATTTGTAATGACAAACAACTGTAAATAGCTACAAGCACAGTGCATTTTACTGTACATTAGATCTCTGGTAAATGTTTTGATACCGTGGAATACATTTTTAACAGATCAGATTCACAGATGAGTCTTATCTGTAAAACCACTAGGCGTATTTGTCCATAATACAAAAACTTGAAGGGGTGAAGATATGTAATGGCATGTTAAATGCCTAAATGTAATTTGTATGAAATATTATATTAAGTAATCCTGTTTTGATATGATGCTGTTTTAACAAACCATGCAAGGAATTAACCATAGGTTTGATATAACATGACCCCGTTCATACCGATGTGTGCAAGTTTACAAGCTGAAATATGAGCATGTCTGTGTGTGAGAGTATTCTATGTCAGGTGGGTATCAGTTTTCTGCAGAGTTATTTGACACCCAGGTAAGGTAAGGCAGTAGCATATATTTGAAGTCAGGTGACCTGTGGTGGGATTAACACACAGACACACTGGTTGTCACCTCTGCCAGTGTGACCACAGTACAGGACCATGACGTTCATTGCTAAGACCTTCTATGATCTGAAGGCCACAATGTGGCATCGCTCTGAGGGACAACTACACAGGGCTATAGCCAGCTCAACCTGCTCCAGAGCAAGTACCCTCAACTGCTAGTGGTCCTGGGCTTCCCCTGCAATCAGTTTGGCTACCAGGTCAGTATGCAACATCTTGGCCTTTGGTTATGTGGTTCAGTTAAATCCATAAAAACAAGCTAATCTAGTAAAATATTCTGTTAACAGTATCAGTTGATTTGTTTAATTATGAATGTCAGATGAGAATGTTATGTGTTTTACAGGAGAACTGTTCAAATGGGGAGATCCTGAACTCCTTGAAGTATGTGCGTCCAGGAGATGGCTACCAGCCTGGCTTCACAGTCCTTTGAGAAGTGTGATGTGAATGTAACCAACATCCACCCTGTCTTTGCCTATTTGAAAGACAAACTTCCCTACCCTGATGATGATCCATCCACACACCCTCATCCAGGATCCCAAATTCCTCATTTGGAGTCCCATCAGCAGGACATCTCTTGGAATTTTGAGAAATGTCTGGTTGGGCCAGAGGGAGAGCCCTTTAAACGGTACAACAAAAAATTTGAAACCATCAACATGGAGCCTGAAAGCCAAAGACTGTTGAGGCCAACCAAGACCTGAAAATGGCATTGAAATGTTTTCCTTGTATACTTCTCTTTATGCTACAGAAAGGCCTATACTCCAGCATTTTGGATTTTGTTTTATATGAGGCGACCGTACAGAATGTGGCCTTTTATTTGAGGGTATTTTCATACTGATATGTTTTACCATTTAGAAATGAATGCACTTTATGAATCTACTCCCCCCATTTTGAAGGTGTCAAGTATTTGGACACATTCACTTACAGTGTATAACATTTAGTCAAAAGTTTAGTATTTGGTCCCATATTCCACAATGACTAAGTCAAGCTTGTGACTCTACAAACTTGTTGGATGTATTTGCAGTTTGTTTTGGTTGTGTGTCGTATTATATTGTGCCCAATAGAAATGAATGTTAAATAATGTATTGTGTCATTTTGGAGTCACTTTTATTGCCAATAAGAATATAATATTTTTCTGAACACTTCGACATTAACACATTTTGAGCATTACACATTTGATTTAGTAGCCTACTAGCCTATACAGTAAGTTCATACCCCCCCAAACATGCTAACCTCTTACCATTACCAATAACAGGAGAGGTTAGATTTTTTGGGGGGGATATGATATGCCTGTGTAACTTTCTCATTCATCATTATTCACAATGCATTCATGATTATGCGTAATATGGTACATTAATATTCTATTCCTATTTACAATAAAGGTGACTGACCTAGTAAACCCTCTCCTCTCTCTATTCCCATGCTGGCCAGCAGGTGGTGCCACTGACTCATTGAGAGAAAAAAAGCTATGAACGTTTTGAGAATGACACAAAGTTCGCTGCTTCAGTGTTTAGAGATATTTTTGTCAGATGTTACTATGGTATACTGAAGTATAATTACAAGCATTTCATAAGTGTCAAAGGCTTTAATTGACAATTACATGAAGTTTATGCAAAGAGTCAATATTTGCAGTGTTGACCCTTCTTTTTCAAGACCTCTGCAATCCGCCCTGGCATGCTATCAATTAATTTCTGGGCCACATCCTGACTGATGGCAGCCCATTCTTGCATAATCAATGCTTGGAGTTTGTCAGAATTTGTGGGTTTTTGTTTGTCCACCTGCCTCTTGAGGATCGACCACAAGTTCTCAATGGGATTAAGGTCTGGGGAGTTTCCTGGCCATGGACACAACATTTCGATGTTTTTTTCCCCGAGCCACTTAGTTATCACTTTTGCCTTATGGCAAGGTGCTCCATCATGCTGGAAAAAGCATTGGTCATCACCAAACTGTTCTTGGATGGTTGGGAGAAGTTGCTCTCGGAGGATAATAATAATAATAATATGCCATTTAGCAGACACTTTTATCCAAAGCGACTTACAGTCGTGCGTGCATACATTTTTGTGTATGGGTGGTCCCGGGGATCGAACCCACTACCTTGGCGTTACAAGCGCCGTGCTCTACCAGCTGAGCTACAGAGGACCACGATGTGTTGGTACCATTCTTTATTTATGGCTGTGTTCTTAGGCAAAATTGTGAGTGAGCCCACTCCCTTGGCTGAGAAGCAACACCACACATGAATGGTCTCAGGATGCTTTACTGTTGGCATGACACAGGACTGATGGTAGTGCTCACCTTGTATCCGGACAAGGTGTTTTCCGGATGCCCCAAACAATCGGAAAGGGGATTCATCAGAGAAAATGACTTTACCCCAGTCCTCAGCAGTCCAATCCCTGTACCTTTTGCAGAATATCAGTCTGTCCCTGATGTTTTTCCTGGAGAGAAGTGGCTTCTTTGCTGCCCTTCTTGACACCAGGCCATCCTCCAAAAGTATTTGCCTCACTGTGCGTGCAGATGCACTCACACCTGCCTGCTGCCATTCCTGAGCAAGCTCTGCACTGGTGGTGCCCCGATCCCGCAGCTGAATCAACTTTAGGAGACGGTCCTGGCGCATGCTGGACTTTCTTGGGCGCCCTGACGCCTTCTTCACAACAATTGAACCTCTCTCCTTGAAGTTCTTGATGATCCGATAAATGGTTGATTTAGGTGCAATCTTACTAGCAGCAATATCCTTGCCTGTGAAGCCCTTTTTGTGCAAAGCAATGATGACGGTACATGTTTCCTTGCAGGTAACCATGGTTAACAGAGTAAGAACAATGATTTCAAGCACCACCCTCCTTTTAAAGCTTCCAGTCTGTTATTCTAACTTAATCAGCATGACCGAGTGATCTCCAGCCTTGTCCTCGTCAACAATCTCACCTGTGTTAACGAGGGAATCACTGATATGATGGCAGCTAGTCCTTTTGTGGCAGGGCTGAAATGCAGTGGAAATGTTTTTGGGGGGATTAAGTTCATTTTAATGGAAGAGGGACTTTGCAATTAATTGCAATTCATCTGATCACTCTTCATGACATTCTGGAGTATATGCAAATTGCCATTATCAAAACTGAGGCAGCAGACTTTGTGAAAATTAGTATTTGTGTCATTCTCAAAACTTTTGACCACGACTGTACTATATACATAAGATAACATTATTCAAAATTGATATAGAATTGTAGTTGGAATAAAGTTATTGTATTCTACTTTTATTATCCAAAATGTATCTTATTGTTCCACCATACCCCATTTATAGTAATCATGTTATAATCATTTTACATTGTCAAGTTTCACATGACATGTTATTTTAAAGATTGATGGCAAAATTGTTATCATACCTGAAATACCTTTGTGTTGCAGAGTAGAAATAAGATATTAGTAGTACAGGAGTTGTATATCTTGTTAGAAATATACTTCCAGGTAATTCCCCTGCACTGAACCACCCTCATGATGACAGAGGCTGGTCTACTATAATAGATTATGTCTCTACAGGCATTTGCATGCGTAATGGTGGCAAACCTCTGCCAAGTTTCTCAACATCACCCCCCCCCCCCCCCCCCTCCATTTCTGCAGTCCCCTTGTCTACCCAGTCCATATGTCCTTTCAAACAGTCCCATCTACTGCTGACTGAGAGGCAGTGCTGCTGAGTAATGCCCTAATGTAATTTATGTTATGACAGTCCCTGGAGAGATCTGTGACAACAGTGAAAGGTTAGGCTACTCTTTGCTCAGAGGCAGCTATGCATTTTCTCTAAAGCCTGTGTTTTCTGCAAGTAGAGTGAGTGCCTTGACTAATGCAATACCGTAGCTCAGTCCAGAAACTACCCATAGCGCCTATACCCCCATAGCCAAAATGTACATGAACTCTAGGATAAGAAGCCTATAACCCATTACGGGAAACAGAAAGCTCATATGACATGGAAATTATGAATCGCATTTACTCATATATCACATTGACTGATTTGTACAGTATTGCAGTTGCGTTCACATGTTCTGTAATAGATAGAGGTAGTTTTGTTTTCTAAGGGCCAATTCAAGAGAGCTTCTACAGAAACACCACCAGGTGAGCAGAAATGGCGTTGTTACCACAGTAACGTTAGATTTATAGTATGAAGTCCTCTCGCGAGATTCCATAACAGTGAGGGGAGGGTGGTTGGTATGATCTCATCCCTACAGCAACTGCATAGTGCAGCGAAGCAGACCCCTAACTTTGTGTCAAACTTCTACATCTCTGACGAAGGCAACAAGATCATTGTGATTTTAACCTGAACGGAAACAATTGTTTTGAAGCAATATACATAACGGCGTTTCTGCATTTTTACACTGAAGGGTCTTGAGAAACAAAAAGGGAAAAACGCTTAGGATTGTGTTAATGCCATCCAATGGTTGACGGTAAGAGGAGAAAAGGTGAGTCGGAAACCTGTGTTTTAACGTTGGGGAATGTGTATGATGTTTTGGGGTACATGGTTGGAAGCAACATCAGGAAAGTCTCCTCAACCAATTAGAATTTTAAACAGCTAAATCTGACCGATTTGTATGTGTTCTATAGTAGCCTAAGTAGCCTACATTAGAATGCGCAATCAGGGTATTTTCTTCCCCCAAATTAGGAGGGAACCAGAAAGGTTGCTTTGTGGGTTCAGAACGCGCACTATGCGCGTGACTGGAGTGGAAAATGTCAATTTTGATCATGTCATGATCAATGTAATCCGTCATTGTATCACGTTTGTCAAAGACAATGTGCAATGTTTCGAGTCCAACTTGGGTTTGGTGATTTCCAGGTGGCATCGAGCAAACGGGCTTAACGTAATAGCGCTGTAATAGGTGTGTAATGCTGCAGCTTTCTCTGTAGTCCCCTCCTTAGCAAGCTATAAGCAATAGCCTACATCCTTTTCTACCATTAATATAGTTCGTTCTGGCCTCTACAAGTGGTGGGTTAATGTTGATGTTCCTTTGACAGTGACAGACCACCACTATCAATCCAAATAGTTGAACAAACTATTGAGCATTACACATTTGAGCTGCACATTTTATTTAGTATAGTAGGCTACGTTGTGAAGCAAGATCCATCAAGCTGCTATTAGCAAGGCAACAACCATTGATGTGGATTGGACTGTCACATGGGATAACACTATTATCTACTCAACCACTAGGTACAAAAACTGTACAGTATTGCTCAACACTGTGCGCTTAGGACATATTTACTTGGCCTTTAGGCTGTCTGTCTGTCTCTGTCAGAGAGAAGCCTCCAAGCCTGAGGGTTTGTCTCATTCACATTATATATACAAAAGTATGTGGACACACCTTCAAATTAGTGGATTCAGCTATTTCAGCCACATCCGATGCTGACAGGTGTATAAAATCTCTATAGACAAACATTGGCTATAGAATGGCCTTACTGAAGAGCTCAGGGACTTTCAATGTGGCACCGTCATAGGATGCCACCTTTCCAACAAGTCAGTTCGTCAAATTTCTGCCCTGTAAGTGCTGTTATTGGGAAGCGGAAACGTCTAGGAGCAACAACGGCACAGCTACGAAGTGGTAGGCCACACAAGCTCACAGAACAGGACCACCGAGTGCTGAAGCGTGTAGCGCGTAAAAATCGTCTGTCCTCGGTTGCAACACTACCGAGTTCCAAACAGCCTCTGAAAGTAACGTCAGCACAATAACTG